AACCTTGGTCCAATTATATTATTTTTTAAGTAGGAACATTTAATTTATAAGGATAGTTGATGCTATACTAATATGAAACGTTTCAATTGATGTGAACTATTACTATACTACAGATTTTTATGTAAAATGAAATAATTATCAGTTTAGAAAACAATATATTATAGATTAACAATTCTTTAATCATGATTACAAATTTTTTCATCATTTAAGTATTGCAATATACACTCTGTCTTTTATACATTTGCAGTGTTTATATTTTTTGCACATTCAGTCTTTTTATAAAATCTTCAATCTAACTCAGAACAGTAAATCTAATAGAGCATTCATTTTAAAAGATTTCAAAATCACTGATACGTGCAACGTGTGAATCACGTTGTACCCAACGTGATTCATCAAATGTTAATTAAATCCAGTAAGCTCAGACAGGAAGGGGTGGTTATACAGGTTTACCATAAGAAATTGTAGAACAAACTACTTTACAATAAAAATATGTACTTCTCTCTCTATTTTTAATCAAACATTTCCATAGGAGTAATAGATTGAAATTCTCTGGTCAAGCAATAAAATACGAAGTTCTCTAGTCACAGGAAAATAATAATTTGAATGAATTATTTAATGCGTTAAATATTACATATCAATTTAATTCCAAAACATAAGAATAGATGATATCATCAGATGAGAATAAATTCTTAATGAAAGAATTATTGCAATTAAATGAATTATGAACTGTGAACAAATAGTCTAATAGAATTGTTATCGACGATATTTGATAACAATGTAGGTTGTGCGAAATGATACTGAGAACAATAAGTTGACGCACAGTATCCAGCTTTAGCACAATCGTTAATGATATATATAGATAACGAAGTTATTAACTTGCCTTCATCAAAATAGGAGAATGATAGAGTCATACGGTTCGTGGAAGTTTATTTTTGCACCGGCTGCGTACGGGCCATAACTCACCCCTTTCGCAACCCCAATGGGACGTTGAATCTTCTCGTTCCATACTCGATTGAACACGAATTCTTTTCTATTTTTCGACCAACTGGAATCCGCACTTGTCTGCGGTCTCATAAAAACCATATACAAATGTAGCTGACTGCGGCAGTCAGTATCTCGTCGAAGATTTCCATAAAAATGTTGGCTACTTTTACAAACTGATTGGCCATGAATACTCGATTGGCTCGATTGACTTTTTAATCACTTCCGACTACGTAAGTACGTAGCAGTCGAGTCGACTCGGAGAGCGTACATTTTTCAGATTAGATCGAGCAGAACCGATAGGAGCGTTTCACGTGTGGATAAATAGATTCGTCGGTTATATCCGTATCGGCTTTGAAACGAAATCGTTTGATACGTCAAGTGAACGGACCCGCGGAAACGTCGTGACGTCAAAGCGTCTCAAGTCCGCGAGCGGCGTGTGAAAAACGAAAAATACGGTGACACACTTTCACTATCTCGGCGCGAGGGCCGCAACCTGCAACCGGGAACCATTGAAATTCCCGCTAATTGCCTAGCGGTGCACAGGATATCGGCCGAAGAAAAAATCGGACTTGAGTCACGCTCTTCCTGTCATATCTCTTTAACAAGATTAAAATAGTGGTTAATTGATTATCAAACTGACCTAGTTCATTGGTTTGTTTAATGGGGCAGAGACAAGTCAAGTGCAACAGAAACATGTAATTTATCTCCTAATTTATTATCCCTTATGATTGACTAAAATTGTTTCAATCACTTCAGTTTTTCGTGTGTATGTTAAATGCCTTCATATTTTAGATTATTTTAGTAGACAGATAACCGTTATCCATTCTTGGGAGACCCGAATGTTACTTTTCCTTCAGTTGGGGGAAGGGTAAAAAAGTTGTAACCGAACAGCCACCCTAATAGGGAGGTCGCGATGGCATCGGTTTTATTATCTTTTTCGTCCAAGTACCCATAAACTCCAAAAACTGTCAGGTCGCTACTCTGGGTTGCGGAATTGTGGCGTCGACATATTAGTGGCTTCGCATTGTTAGCCGAGGAAAATGTATCCGAGGGGGGAATCGGACCCAAGGGTTACCACAATGCCGGGCAGGTGAAAAAATACGGGTCCCCGATCTAATATACGTGTGCCGTACGTGAACGTAAGATCAGAAATTACATGCAGATCAAAACTGTGCTTGTTTGCGTTCCGCATTAATCCAGAAACGGGGGAACCGTAAATTAGATTCCCATGGAAAAAGATGGACAAAAAATGATAATCCTGAAAAATGCATGCGATACTTCCATGGGTCGACAGGAATGTTTAATCATAGCTCGGCTTTCAGTCCTCTTTTTATTTATGTTTAATTATCCTATGAGATGTGTAATAGTTGAACTGCAGACTTTTATGCATTTATAAAAGACATTAATACTAAAATTTGAATATTACACATAATGTTCGAGGATACACAAAATACTAAAAGCATTATTAACACTAGAAAGACTGAAACTTAATATNCGACTTCCTTGGGCAATCTAGTGTTAATCATGATGGAAATATGTAAGGTGTGTTCTGATGGTACCATTTTTGTCACTTACTGCGCATTCCATACGGCGGACATATTTAGAAATGATTACTTCTTGTTTTCAAAAATAAAAACTGATGAAAAGGGCAAAAGTGCCACGTTGCTTTTAAACAACGTAAAAACTGGTATAGTAATATTAAAAAATTGAATATTTCCTATCATCAGTTTCCGAAGGATTTAAACGGATGGGAATTTATAAAGCTCTTGATGGTACGGTGTTTTCCAGACGAGTTCGCGAATTCCTTTTCAGTAATATTGATCGGTCACATCGGTGGTAATTGGACAATGCATTGATCCATATCGAGGTTGCATTGTATCGGTGATGCCACGCGATTGAGAGCTCTCGAATAGCAGAGGCGATTCGATATCAGTATTCCGCGCGGCGTAAATCCGCGGGCGAGGAGACCTCGCTCACAAAGGAGTAGACACGCGAGCCTCGTGTCATCCTCCAACCGTGGCGGTGCTGATTTTTGAAAGAGAGAGCCGGTATTTTTATCTCCCCGGGAAAAATGCGGTTCCCTCGAAACGTGTCGGAGATGGAAAGAGAAAAGGAGGAACGAGACGGCGCCAAAAATATCCGATGCGTAGTTCGCGCGAGACGCGGTTCTGATTCTCCGGCCCGACGTTTTCCCGGGTGAAATAAAATTTCAGCTGCCACTAAGACCGCATTCAAAATATGCAGCAAGTTAAGAGGCCAATTTCAATGTGTAAGTAAAATAAATGGGAAGGCTTATTGACATGGAATTCGAATTTCTGATAAATAATTTTGCGATGGTTAAACGAATAAAAAATCGTGCAAAATAGAGAGGTACAAATGCAGATCAAATCCAACGTAGTTCGCACGAGAAGCTGTTTTCATTTCAACGTTATCCCGGCTAAAATTACATTTTAACTGTCTACCTAAGCTGCATACATTGAGAATGTGCAATAAGTTCAGAGACAGAGTTTATGGTGGAAATAAAATAAATTTGGAAACGTACTAATATACAAGGTGAACCACGAATTGTAATCAGTAGTGATTACTTTATAATTAGCAGTTCGATCGAGAATGTTTTTATCAGATATAGCATGATTTCAAGAGAGCTTTCACGTGATTATAGAAACTTTTTTATCAATTCTTTTTTTTCATAAGATTATTTTTATTTTATTAATTTCATATTAAATTAAACTGCTAATAACAGAGTAATCTCTACTGATCACAATTCGTGATTCACCCTGTATAATTGGAGTATCTCTGCTTTTTTATATCCCTTGTGACGAGTTATAATTTCTGCATAACGACATGCAGTAATAATCAGTATAATGGATTGAAATAATAGCTTGAAGCCTTTTTCTTAGCAGTCCTTGCGTTTGAGTGAGATATATTTGTCTGCAGATTTCCGTACATCGTAGTTGATTAAATCGTTGCGATGCTTCTTGCTCAGTCTTCTCGGAACAGTTGTACGAGATTAGCTATTCATTAGAAGATTTGAATGGCTTTTAGCCTCTCTTTATATCTAGCAGCATGACATGACATTGTACAATTTACGATACTATTTTAAGACCTTTTCTGAGATCCTCGTCCAATTTTGGAATATCCGATGGATAATTT